TTCTGAGCAGGAATTTGCCTTTATGACATGTGGCTTCACCCCTTTGGGCTGCACTGTGTTGCTAGAGCCTCTGAGGACATTAAAGTCTCCAAAGCACAAGAGGATCCCCACTTCCTCTCTGTGCTCAGAGCCACGTCCCCTCTCTTCCCATCCTCTTCTCCTTCAGTTAGTGCTGCTTTCGCCACTGTCCCCAGGGTGCGAAAGCTTCAGAGCTGCTCCTGCCTACTCCAACTGAGCTGTTTGGGGCCTGGGCTCACCTAGGGCAGTGATAGTGGCAGTGGCTTCTTGTGCCTGCTCCTAAGGGAAATGGGCAGTGTGGGGAAACCCACCCCCTTTTCATTGCTGTTGCCGCTGTTCTTAGGTAAGCCCAGCCACCACACAGCTTGGCTGGAGAGGGAAGGAGCAGCTCTGAAGCTTTCCCTATTCCCCAGACCTTGGGGAAAGCAGCAGCAACTGGATGAGGAGGGGTGGGCAGGGGACGTGCCTCTGAACATGGTGGGGAATGGGGGGATGCTTACCTGCTTTGGGAACTTAAAAAGTCCTGAGGCTCCCACAGCATACTCTGCCCACTCTGGTAGGTAGCAGGGGAAGAGGCTGAGCGCAGAGATGTGGCCACTCTTCAACCTACCTTTGCCAAATCTTGGATCCACCCTAGAATAAGATAGAACCAAGGCTGTAACAGTAGTTTATAGGAGTGCTGGGAGGCTAAACTCATTAGTCTTTGGATTTTGAGTCCTTGGATGGACATGAGCATAGAAATGCAACATACTAATCTTTCCCTGTCCATATTTATATTCTGAAAATGTGGAAAGTTCTGATACAGGTTTCCCTCAATTTATGCAGTAAATGTGTTTTCGGAGTACAGTGCATAAATCAAATTCGCATAAAGTGAACCCACTTTATAATGTAACAAATAGGAATACATTCCCATGGTGGTGAGGGAGGGAGGGAGTGAGGCTGGGACTAGGAAAGGGGTGGGGAGAAGGGTGCAGCGCAGCCCGTTAACAGCTCCTAGGGCTGCAGGAGGCAACAAAGTGGCAGAACTGTGAGTGGTTAAGGCATGGGAGGGCACAGTTCTTGCTGCTACGTACCCCCTGGGAGGGCTGCGCCGGGCTCTTTGGGGTGGGGGGCAGGCCCCTGGATCTGCACATGGGATAACAGCAGGCTGCCGCTGCAGGCTGGGGCTGGCGGCACCACCGGGCTCTCCCCAGCGCTCAGCGGGCAGGTTGGGAGGGCTATGGCAAATTTTGGGGTGGCAGCAGCCCTGCTACAAGCACCGCCACTCACCTGGAGCGCTGGGAAGAGCCCGGTGCCACCACTGTCCCCAGCCTTGCTTGCAGGAATGAGGCAGCAGCGCTGGGAGGGAGGGATGCTGCCACCCCAAAATTTGCCATAACTCCCCCACCTGCCCGCTGAACACCAGGGAGAACCCGGTGCCACCGCCAGCCCCAGCCTGCAGCAGCAGCCTGTGGTTGTCCCACGCACAGATCCGGAGGCCTGTGACCCCCTGGGAAGAGCCCAGTGCAGTCCCCCCCAGCCTACAGCCTTCCTGGGGGGCGCATAGCAGCAAGAGCTGTGCCCCCCTGTACCCCACACCCACTTATAGTTCCTGCTGCTTGCTACAGCCTGGGGCCTCCACTTCTCCCCACTCATTCCAGCTGCTGCAGCAGACCCGGGAGCAGCCGACACCACCTGCCTGCACCACGGCATGGCACAGCGCAGCCCAGGGGCTAGGGTGAGTGGGGACAAGCGGAGCCCTGATCGCATAAGAGTGAATTTACCTCACATATAAGGGATTTTGGGTAGAAAAAGGGTGATCACATAGGAGCAAATTTGCATATATGAAACCCTTATAAATGAAGGGAAACCTGTATTTCAGGGCCCAGCTCATAACTGCATGGGTATGTCTTTCTCCTGTATTAGTCTCTACACAACTGCTAGCTGCATAGATGTTACTTAAAAAAGTGTCTTGGGGTGTATGAGTGATTGTGTTCAGAGACACTAAAATGGTTGTTGGCTTTAGAAAAGCAAATCCAATAGCCTGTTGTATAACAGGATCAGACACTGTAATAAGCTTATTCTGTGAGTTAAGAGTTCATCAGCCGTACTAATTTCTAATGTAGGACAATGCTAAATCTTACTTCACCTTGGCAGTGAGCATTTCTTGAATGCAAACACTGAAGAACAAGATGGATTTGAATCTAATCAGACCCATATAACCCATATAACAGTTGAACACAATTTTAGCTGTTTTTAAAGGTTATCTTATCTCCCATTTCTCAGAATATTAACAGCTTCCCCCACTTTAAAATGTATGTTGTTTTGATGTAAGAATTCCCTTTCTTACCAAAGGACTGGAAAAAAGAAAAAAAAGTTGTCCTCTGAATTTAGTTACCTTTTACCAGCCTGTGTTATACATATTTTTTATAAAAGAAACATAATTTCTTTTATTTTAGGTATGTTACCAAAACTTAATAATAATTCTTATCAGAAAATAAATTCCATCAAAAAGGGCTAAAACAACCATATGATCCAATATTTTCTTATTTTACTACTGAATTTCAAATCTATGAGTCTCCTAATAATTCTTTCAATTAGATGCAAGCAGGGTAAAAAAAACTACTTTATATTATTTAGTGAAACAACTTTGTTCATATTTAGGTTATACTCAAAGCCATGGCATACATTATGAGAAATGTAAAATATATTTACTTGCTGTAGGATAATAATGCTTTGATGTGTTCCTCCACTGTATCCTACGACAACAGAAATTTCCAATTAAATTATTCCTTTCTCTCTGCAAATTACTAACTAGATCATCCTGTGTTTTAATGCCAAAAGGCTTGGAAGTATATTTTTAATAGTTCTCACTGGAGTTTCAGGAAGATTATTTTACACTGATTTAGTCCTTCTTAACTGAATATACTATAGGATATACATTTTCCCATTAAGTATAGTTCTTTCTCTGCATCTTCTACACACAGTTTTCCCAAAAGGCTTGTCCTTCTATCTTTGACAGTCCATAAAAAAAATAAATGATGCATAGCAAAGTGCTTGGGGAGTTCCTTTCTGAATAACATCAACTTTCAGGAACAGCTGCTAAGATCAGATAGACAACTAGAATGCACAGGCGGTGCCTCTTAAAGATACAGGCATGTGATCCTCCTCTCTGGACAAAGAGAGTCATCCAATCTGTCACCATCACTGATATATGTCTTCTATACAAGTCTGTCCTAGTTTTCTCCTCTGAAACAGGTCTGAAACAAACAGAATCTGCAGTATAAAGTCCAAAGTCTTTGCTATCACTCTTTAAGCCATAAAATAATAAATATCTTGCATACTGTGAAGAATGATCTTCTTGGTTTAAATTCCTTTAAAAATGTGTGTATATATTCTTTTTTAAAGAAATATCTACTGCTATGGTGGCCAAAAATATACAAAACCAAAACAATAGCAAATATTTCTACAGTATCTACAAAAGAGTAAGGTTGTGCTTTCTCCAAAAGGACTGAGTTTACTAGCCTTGTAAAAATGTTCTTGTCCCCTTGCCTGGAGTAATCTTTTTGTTGTTTTTAATCAAGAAAGGATCCTTAGCTTTCTATCCTGATGGTAACTGGTAACTGTTGTGTTTAGGAGGGTTTTTACGTTAGTTTTGTAAGGCGGATGTTACTTTAGCTACAATTATGCCATCTACCGACTGATTTTTGAGCACGTTCTTGAGCTAAGTCAATCCAAAATACATTCAGTGAATCGCAGTTATAAGAATTCTTGTCTTTAGGGATACCAAAGATGGCAGCAGCAGCACCAGGGTGCCACCACAGCACCACATACAGCACCAGCAACACGCTGGCCCCACAACAGCCCTGTGGGAGAAAATATTATTTGGGGGGCTGAGTAAAAGGGTGCCCACCTGCACCCCGCCCCTCTCTCCCACAGGGCTGTTGCGGGGCCAGCGTGTTGCTGGTGCCGTATGTGGTGCTGTGGTGGCACCCTGGTGCTGCCGCTGTCTCCAGCTGCTACACAATTAATTTGGGGGAAACTAAGCCCCGTTAGCTTCGGCTTTCTGCCACCTATGCTGTTGTGGAAGTGCTGGTCCACAAACAGAAGCAACATTGAATGTTGCCTCTCGTATTAAAAACACAGGGAAAGAATCAGTGCTTGACAAGTTCAGAGAAAAACCCTGAATGTCACATTTACAAAAAAGGGCATTGTGAATAAAATCACATCACCGACCCAGTTCTCATCTTTTAAAGCTTCGTGTATCCCGTTCCTCTCGCATCTTTGCTTCCAAGGCTTCCCCAGCGGTAAGAGCAATCCCACCCACCAGGTGGACGGCTTTGCTCCTGCTTTCCCTGCCACTGACCCCTCCACCTTCCCCTGCCCGTGGCCTGCATGGCTCCTCCTCACACACAGGGCGGGCCTCCAGTCTCAGGCTGGCCTCAGACCCTGCGGGTCCGTCCCACCTGGGAGCTACCCTACCTGGTTGTGCTCTCCCCTGCCCATCCAGCTGGAGCAGGATTTCCCTCTCGGGAAGGCCGAGAACAGCCCCTTACCCTGGAAGGAGCTGAGGAGTCGCGGTCAGGAGCAGGGGCACAAGGAGATGCCGCTAGGTAAGTCAATACAGATCACAACTAAGCTCCTGCCTCGTCTGCCCGTGTCGAATTGAACGCACTTTGCCACGAAGGCAACAGGCTGCTGAACTGGAGACCGGGCCCTGTTGGAGAAGTGTTCGCCGAGGGGGCAGGGCGGCCGCGCCGCCAACAGGCACTGGAGCAGGGAGGCGCGGGCTCTCGCCTGCCTCCGGGACCGGGCGGGGCAAAGGGAGGCGCAGCGCGGGCTCGGGGGGCGGAGCGGCCCGGGCCCGGCA